AGTTGCTGTATGTGGGACTCGGCCTCAGGATGGACGGAGAAGTGGTGCCTCGATGCGCACCCGGGATCCGAACCCGGGCCACCAGCATTGCAGCGCGCGCACTTAACCACCAAGCCACAGGGCCGGCCCCTAAATAAAATCTTTAAAAAAAAAAAAAAAAGAAAGAAAAGCATGTAATGTGCATGAATATGATGTATACATATATATTTAGATATATATGTATATGTGAAATGTTTTATAATAAATATATGGCAAGGCAATGATAACATTAAAAATATAAGAAATTGCTATTAGCTTGTGCCATAAAGCATAATTGCCCTATTTACTTTCTTCTTTCATAGGCTTTTTCTTGGCCATTACAATGGTTTAACTTATAGTGTTGTAGCCAGGAAGGAAATGCTTATAATCTGTCTACACAGACACTTACAAGGAGTTAATGAAAACATTTCTATATTCTAAGCACTGCTACTTAAGCTATAATGTTTTCATCTTAAGGCTTATTTTTCTTTAATAAGGTTCTATATTGGCTCCCTGTGGGTAATAAATACACCTAAAAAATTCATCTAAGATATTTTCAGAACTTTGCCATGACCTCAGTTGAAGAAGGGGTTTGTTCTTAAACCCACAGGTCACATCTCCTGTCCTATGCCACCTGCCTACGAAGCCTGTGATTGTTGAGGAATGAACACTTGCATAACTGTAAAAAATTTTGCAGCAGCTTAAACAGATTGAAGATAGGATGAATCCCCAGGCATTTGGATTCTTTTCCTTTTCCTTTTATTTTTTTGATCATTTTCTTTGAATTGCAAAGAGTAATTATTAGTCCAAGTCAGTCTCTTAAAGAATTGTATGCATCAGTCACAAGCAAGACTTAATCCCCCGGCTCAGTGCAATCCAGTAAGAACTGTTACACACCCGCCTGTTCTCAGCATCGTGCTAGGCTGGGTAAATAGCAAGAATTTCCACTTCTTCTTCATTATTCCCAGATGGTGCTGGCTGATTCCTATCCCTAACAACCACACAAATGTCCTGGCAGAAAAACAACTTGATTATATAACCCTGTCTTGTGACCTCCAGATCACACTCTACATCTGCGCTGATTCCAGCTGCAACTGCTGTTTTCCTGTTGCTTCAGAGACATCTTTGTGTTGCTTCAGGCCCTTCGGGTCTGAAGATGGTCCTGTTATGTGGATCTTCACATGTGCAGGGGGGATGGAGGGGTCAGTCTGCTGCAGGCCTTCTTTGCCCCTCGGCACACACGGGAAGCAGCTGTTTGTTTGCAATGACTACGTGCAAGATCTGTTCACATCTGTAGCTTTGCTTCCACCTGACAAAGTAGCGGGGATTATGGGCTCTCAAGCTACACTTTCCTTCTCCAGAAGTTCTTGATTTCATAAGCGCTCGTAGCACAGACCATGGCTGCTCGATGCTGCTGAAGCTACTCGAAAGCCGGGATGGCAGTGATGATGATAACAATTGTGGCAAAGATGGTAGTCGTAATCTGGTAATTTATGACTGTAATGGTAATGCATTAAGAATGCTAATGACAATAGTGATAATAATTAGTATTATTCCCTCACTTCCTGATTATAGGTACTTTTCTCCCTTCCTTTGAGTCTTAAAAGTCACCTCAGTGAGGTCCTCCCAGGTCACCCGGTCTAAAATTTTATTCCCTTCTCCAGCATTTTCTATCTCCTTTCCCAGCTTGTTTTTTCTCCTTAACATTTACCACTATCAAATAGACTATACATTTTGAGTTATTTATTTTTTTTACTGTCTGTCTCCCCCACTAGAATGTAAGCTCCTTGAGCAGGGATTTTTGTCTCTCTTGTTCACCCATAGTGCCTGGCACATGGTAAGGTTTACATTATTATATGGTCAATGAGTGAGTGATAATAATTTGTGTTTCTTGAACACTTCCTATGTCCTAGATGCTGTGCTGAACGCCTTACCTAGAGGGGCTCATTTCACCTCTTGACTCTTGCACCATGCCGCCTCTCCTAATCATTGTTCTATCTCGAGCATCTTTTCTCATCCAGACTTGTTTAAAGAAGAGTCTACACTTGGTTCCCTCAACTCACAGGCACTGCTCTCCCCACTGCCATCTGGCTTCCTTGTGCTACTCTCTGTGGACTATTCTCTCTTAGGTTACCAGTGACTTCCTAATTGCCAGATCAAGCAATATATTTTTAGCCCTTGTGTTACTGATCCTTTCAGTTCAATTGTCAATCATTCTTGCCTTCTGGAAGCTCTTTTCTTGTCCCTTCTGATGACACGCTCTTGGGTTTTTCTTTCTTTTTTTTTTTTTTTCTTTTTTTTTTTGTGAGGAATATTAGCCCTGAGCCAACATCTGTCGCCAATCCTCCTCTTTTTGCTGAAGAAGATTGGCCCTGGGCTAACATCCATGCCCATCTTCCTCCACTTTATACGGGACACCGCCACAGCATGGCTTGACAAGCGGTGCATCGGTTCACGCCCGGGATCCATCTGAACCTGCAAACCCCGGGCCACCGCAGCAGAGCGCATGAGCTTAACCACTATGCCACTGGGCTGGCCCAGGGTTTTTCTTTGTGATGTTTCCTTTTCTGTCTTCATCGTGAGCCTTTTAGGGCCTGTCTCGTAAGTGCTAGCACACCCACTTCTGTCACCCACTCCCTGCTTTCTTTATTCTGTGTACACTCCCAAAGGCATCTCCATTCTCATCATTCCACCCTGCACCCTCTCTAACCCTTGTTTTCTGCTGCCTGCTGTATATTTTTGGATGGATGTCTAAGGCCATTCCACAATCAATTTGTTCAAAAGCTAGCTTTCCCCATAACCTGCTTACATATACACCTGTATTCTCTGCCTAAGTTGATAACACCACAGTTCATCCAGTCGCCCAAGCTGGAAACCAGGAATCCGGGGCTCTTCCTTTGGCAGGAAGCCCCCGTCCATCTATTCTGCTCCATCCCTGCTATGACTCCCTGGTTCAAGCCCTCAGATTCCCATCCGGACCACGATTGCCGCAGCCTCCCAGCTATTCCTCCTGTTCGCTCCATCCTCCACGTAGCTGTCAGAGAGCTCTACCTGCGTGACCAAGGGCACTGGGTGGTGGCTTACTGTGCTTCCTCTCCCAGAGAACGTATCTACACATTCACCGGGGTTTCCAGTGCTTTGACCAGGATCCACTTCCATAAGGGCTTTTGGCTGTTCCTGAAAGCACACCTGATCCACAGTGGGAGTATATGTTCCTAAGGTTGATCAGGGCAGAAGCCTCTGGAAAGAGATACAAATAGGTAAGAATTGCAGTCATTGGAAAATAGCTAGACCTAACATACTACCCAAAAAATTATGCAGGAAAATATTTACAAGACAACAGAGAAAAAGAATTACAAAATGGAAAAGAAATTACAAAATTCAGACCAAAAAAATGAGAGAACTGTATGTGAAGAGAGCTCAGGTAATGAGAAGAGGATGGGCAGGCACTGTATGATGTGATGTTACTAGAACTTGCCAGCAGATGGCAGACCAGAGCAATAACCCTTTTATTTGCCTAGGTTTTTTAAGGATCATCGTAATACATAGAAAAAAGTAAAGGAGAAAACAAAAATAACCTATAATTCCACTACCCAAAAATAACCAGTTTTATTTCCTCCTAGTCTTTTTATATGTATATAGTTATGCTATTTATGCAATTTTTCCCCTAACTTTATATCGCAGGCATATCCTAATGCTCTTCAAAACTTTGTGAACTTTTATTTTAATCACCATCTAATGCTCCATCGTATTGTTGTCCATGTTTATTCTCTTATGTTGTCATTTTTGGGGTTTTCTGTTTTGTTAGGATAAGATGTAGATAGGATATCAGTGAAGCTTTGTCGCATTCAGCTGGGAGCAAAGGCTACTGGATCTCACGGCCAGAAGGTCAGGCTGGGCAAGGGGTGGAGACAGCGGGGCCTGAGCAGGCCCGTGCTCTGTTGGATATGTTGAGCGTGAAGAGAAGGAAAGACATGAAGAGGTAGTTTGATGGGGTAGATTTTTTAGAGGGTGAGACCATAGTGGGCTTACAGGCATGGAGCAGGGTCCAGTGGTGGGGAGAAAACTGCAGCAGAGAGGGGGACGTCTCATTGATGATCAGGTCCTGCGGGAGGCCAGGGGAAGACGGACTGAAAGCTCTTGGGGAGGCTGAGCTCCGGGATGCAGAGGAACATGCAGAAAGGAAGAAACGCTGGAGGTCAGGAGAAAGTTTCAGTGGAACCCACGTCCATGTCTCATTTACGACACCAGTGTCTGGAGGTGTGGGGTTGGCGGAACGTGTATATTACATTTTCTATGATAAAATAATGTTAACTTACATTTGATAGTCTTTAGACTTTTTATAAGCCAGCAAGGGTGTGGAGTGGGTTATTAAAAAGAGTGATGTGTTGGGCCGGCCCCATGGCTTAGTGGTTAAGTGCGCGCGCTCCCCTAC